TGGATGCCATCTGCGAGGCATGGGCTGCAGTTTAGGGAACGTACGGAGCCGCAGATAGCGCCCCCTGGCATCGGGGCGAGAAATGGGCAGCCTCCTGCCTAATTAAGATCATTAATCTTAATGGTCACAAGGCATGGCAGGCAGGAAGGTGGGCAGTTGGCCCAGAAACAGGTGGGAGAGTTATAGGAAAAATCATCCCCGAGAAGGCCCCCTGTTACAAGGTGCCATACAAACCAGCCATGAAAATGTTCTGTATTATATATGGAACATTTTTTGGCTCATTTCCCACTTTATGGTGCCTTGAAGTGAGTGTACATGTAGCACCCTTCCTATTTATGTCATGATTGACACTTTAATTGAGGCATAAACGTAATGTGTAGAGGAGGCCCAGGATGCAATCTTTCTGTTCCTCTGGACCAGAGCCTCATTTGTGGTACAACTTCCACCTACTGTAACAAATGAGGCAGGGTCCTAATTACGACAACCTCATTCACTGCACAGACTCATCTGTGCTAAGGGAGCACTTTCCTTGCTGTGTTATTTGTGAGGCAGAGCTTTCTGAGGAAGGGAAGTTGATACAATCTAAGCTTACAAAACCTAAAAAATTCAAGTTCTGGTAACTTAAAAAATGATTTTGTTTTCACAAAAAAACCAACCCTTTTTTTTATAGTTTAGAATTTTTCCTGTAAAAACCTGCAAATTTTCACCAAAGCACAATTAGTGGCCAGCTGTGTGTCTGGTATATTTTGCAAAGTTAATAAAATCCTAGGATCATCTTCTCCTTTACGGTAAATCAAGTCGGTTTCATTATAGTCAGTAGTTCCCAATGATTTATATCCTGTTACATTCCCAGCAGCTCCCAATGGTTGACATCTGGTCACTCTCTGGTTTTATAAGTTATTTTGTTATTGTAAGCGACTCTGAACTTTTGTTGGGAAGGGTAGCATATACAATCAAATAAATAAATCCAACTGAGGATATGGCACTTAGTGCCATGGAGCTTTGTTTTAGCTCCCATGACCAGTATGTGCTGAGACGTTGGATCAGATTGTGTTAGAGCAAACTGGTTCTGCTCTGACAGTGGAATTCCTTTCCTTCTGTTGGCTTTAAGGAACATCTAATGATATTCGCCTCCAGTAGAATATTTGATAAGGTCAAAGCAGCACTGAACAAAAGTGAAACTGAAACACTTAACCAAACAGATGTGCAAACTCAAAGGATTTGCATCAAAGACCTCTGGAAATGTTTCTTCTTTCTGGCTGCTTGCTTTCCTGAGACTGGGGTTGCTCTAACTCCCTGCTCAGGGTTTGGCTTGTTCCTGTCTCTAATGGCTTTTTCCAACTTTGGGATTTTTGGCAATCTACTTTAGAGGGTGAGACAGGAATAACAGTTGGTTTCCGGTAGCCCGGGCAGTCAGTCAGTCCTGCTTGAGGAGCAGCCAGCAAAAACATGCAGAGCTCAGAATAGTTGTGCAGTGTTCTGTAGGTTACAAGTATCTACTGAACTTCATGGTGCAGGTGCCCTTTAAAAGGCCTCTGGCATTATTAAAGCCTCATTTTTATTGGATACAGAGGATTGAACACTTTTTTAAGATAGGGTGACCATTTGTCTTGTTTTCCCCAGGACAGTCCCATTTTAAACACATGTCCTGGCAGAGTGTGGAAAACAGGGCTGGGGAGTGAAGTATCCTGTTTTGAGTTTCAGGAAATACAGTGATGCTACTTTAACAGCCTCCATGTACATATAGGCTAGGGACAGAAGTTGCACATAAACCAGTTTAAGTAATCAGAAACTGGTTTAAACCTGTAACAGAACATAAGCTCAGTACACACAAATCCATTTCAAAATGGCCAAAACTGGTTTAAGATAAAACCTGGTTGAATGTAGTATCAGACTTAACTGATTTGGGTCAAACTAGTTTATGGAACTTCTGCCCCAGACCTCTTCCTGGTTTAAGTTAAATCAGAGTCCCCCACCATGCTTTGCAGCCCTATGCTGTGCTCTCTGCCCCAATGGAGCAGGGCTGGCCCTGCCCCCAGCTGCCAACAGGGACTATTCCATTCCCAGCAGCCAGGAGCGGGGTGGATTTCTACACCTCCCCACTTCTTGACCAGGGAATCGACCTAGCTCCCAGCTGGGGCAGGGGTGTAAAGCCCCCACTGCCAGCTTCCTCCCTCTGCTGGGCACTGAAGCTTCTCTCTCAGCTGTGCTGTCATTCTTCTGCCCATTTATAAAAGAAATCATGTACAAGCAAGAAGAATTCAGTGCAGCCTTGCTGGGGAAAAACGAACGTGGTGGCTTTTTCTTTGGGATCAGACCCATGAACTGTAAAGGTGGGAACTGTAGGGTGGGAATTTCCCCCTAGCTGGCAGGGGTGCCAGGGCCCAGCCCCCGGCTGCAGTGCTGCCCAGGAGGTGCCAGGAAGCCAATTCTCTGACCCCCTGAGCCGGCTCCCGTGAAGCGAGCGGTGGCACTAGGGGTTGTGCTCACTCGACAGCTCCTGGGATGGCAGCAGGGGTCTGGAATGGGGGTGGGAGAGGGAAGGGGAAGAGGCTGCCATGTTTCCTCCCAATCCCCTTCTCAGCCAGCCTGCTGGCCAGGGAGCAGATATCACTGGGTGATTGGCCTGGCTTCTGGCTGCAGGGAAGCCCACAGTCCCAGCTGAGCCAGAAGCCAGAGCGATCACCTGGCCATGCCCCCTCCCCAGCCAGTGGGCCATCTAAGGAGGTAGTAGGGCAGGAAATGGCCCCCATTATGGGCTTCCCACCCCCTGCGCTGGGCACAACCCAGCTGGG